ACTGAAGCCACGCTCCGGAGAGGCTCTGCCTGCAGGTGTCCCAGTCTGGGCGAGGGGCTGAGCGCTGGGGCGGGGCGGGGGAGAAGCAGTGCGCGAGGATTGTGGAAGCCACCCGGTCTCCCCCTGGCCAGCACCGGACCCGAATGCACCATCCCGACAGATGCCTGTCCAGCCTCTCCTCTTGAAGGGGAGCCTCCCCTCCCCCCTCCCCACATCTCTCTCTCCCTCTCAGTCTGCTCACCACCTGCAAGACAAAATCCATGCCGGGGGACTTCTGGGGCACCTCAACTGCCAGCTCAACCTCCTCCAGCTTTGCTGCCTGAGCTGAGGCTGCCCAAGTCCTGGGCCAAATCAACATTCTTTGGGCTGCACCTGAGTGGCTTCAGCTGCTGCCCCACCTTCTGAAAGGCTCCCAGCCCACTTGTCCATGACGGACTCTTGGGCATGCACACTTCAATTCATGGAAAGTCCAACTGAAGGAAGCCCATTCAAGTTCATGTCCACCATACTCATCCTTGCAGCTTGTCATCACAAACACAGTTTGCAATGTGTAATGCTGTATGTTATTTATTTGGCTAACACAGCCTCAAAATTACCCATAGGGAGAGGTGCTCCTTCATGCCAGGAATGGGATTCTCCCACCATTGTTTTTTTCCATTGCTCTTTCCCCAAAGAGTTTCTCTCACCATCATCCTGTTTAGCCTGTGAAGAAAGGTGAGCATCAGACTGCAGAACCTGGATCCCAGAGGCTGTCCGTGTCCATGCTTTGCTGGATTTACCTGGGAGACTCTGAAGACCAACTTCTTGGTGGCCTCAGTTTGCAAGATTGTTCTGCAGAATCTCCCCCAATTTGGCTCTCAGAAGGATGGGGGAAAAAGGGGGAAAAGACCACATCTGCCTTCCTATTCTCCCTCTTATGACCTGGAAGGCTCTTTTCATGGGGGAGTGGGTGGGAAAGTCACTTGGTCAAAGTGGGGCTGAGAATTTTCACACCAGACTCAAAACAATCAGACTGCACTTGGGACTAGCTCAGGAGTAATTTGAGCAAAGAGGATCTCTTATGATCACATTAAGAATATTGGACCACAGGATTCTGGAGTTCCCCCTGTCCACCCAACCCCTAGCAATGAGCGGAATCAACCCGGGGGCTTCCTTGTGTAGTGAAGATGTCCCACTAGATGATCTGTGTGGCAACTAAGGCCAGTTTTTCCTTCTGGTGGCCACGAGATCCATCTATAGAAGATAAGGCAATTTGACCATTAAAAAACGTTCAGAGGGAGGGAGGGCAACTGCTGTGTATTTTGCAGTGGGTGGAGGTTATAGCCTCCTCTTCCTGTCCCCCCAAGAGGATTCAGTTCCAGAAGACCCAGTTCTGGAAGATCAGCCCTCCTTCACGTACATAACTCACCTCTCCATCCATCCATCCATCCATCCATCCATCCATCCATCCACACACTCCTATAGAACAAGATTGGGGAAAAGATGTAGAATGAACTGGGACCATCCACAGTGCTAATTCTGTTGGATATAAAAGGCATAAGCATTCCAGAAGTTCAAAAATGAAACAAAAATAAAAGACTATTTCAGGTTAATGGGATGTGCTATGATCAAACCTGGTATTCGATAGTTACAATTGGCAGGTTACAGATTAACCTGAAGATGCTTATCAGTTAAAGTATCTGGGGAAATAACAGAGACATTATTGTGGGGGCAGAAAATGGGAAACATTAAGAGAGTTCATGAGGTGTGGTGGCAGAAAATCACAAATATGTCTTGGGAGGGCCTTGGCTGAGTTTTAATAATGGAAGCATTCTCCTACGCCTTTGTCAAGGTAAAATGGAGCTTGTCCTTTTAGTTACAGGGTATCTTTTTCAAAATACGTGTGATGGTAGTGATGTTGGAGGTCAGGAAGGAAGGAAGGAAGGAAGGAAGGAAGGAAGGAAGGAAGGAAGGAAGGAGAGAGGTGCCCAAAATCCTCACTTGGACTGGCTTGGCAAGGATGCCTCTGCTGTGTCCCCTGTGAGCTGCTACGGGAGAACTAAAACCCCGGCATTCATAGGCGAGAAGTAGAGATGATGGGGAGGAAAATGGATTGTTGTTTCCAGCTGAGCAGCGAGAGAAGCCCAGCTGATGGACTGGGAGAGCCCTCCTGGATGCTGGCGACGTAGCTGGGGGGAAGCCAGCGAGCCAGAAGAACTGAAGATTGGCTGAGCGAGCAGCAAGGACCAGCGTCCCTCCAAGGCTGCACGATGGACTCCAGGCTGGGCTGGAAGTGACAAGAGACTGGGCAGAAAGAACTGGTGGATGGAGGAGTGCAGACTGGCCAGGTGTGCCAGAGGCACCTGCAGGGTTTAATTAAAAGAGTCGAGATGGCGGCCATGACGGTGGGATCGAAGCTCAGCTTGGTTGATACGTGCATGCCTGCCTGGTGGGAGAACTCTTGGGCTCCTTGGGCTCCAGTTGTTGCAGGTAAATGCCAAGTTGGTGCAGAAGAAGACCACACTTGGAGGAGGAGGAGGAGGCGGCACATAATTCAGATTGGGGGGGTCAGAAAAGTGGGCAGATTGATGCCAGTTAAAACATTTCTTGTTACCTGCTTCCTCTGCCTCCCTTCCTGCCCAAATTGTCCCTGGTTTGGCAGCCAAAACAGTTTTTTGCAGCAAGTCCCTCACTTTTACAAGGGAGCTGCGGTTCTCATGTGCTAGAAGGAAGCTGGCACCCCAAGCACCTTGAAGAGCCCTTGCCACGGCTCCTGGATCAGCCAGTTTGGGCACTAAAATAATGGCAACGGCTCTTTTGCTGGAACCGAGTGGCCTTTCTGGAAAATCAATAGCCACTTAAGTCACTGGACACTATGGTGCGAATCCTCCAACACCCATTAGCCTATGGATCCAGGTGGGGGGGCCCTTGGTAAAGGACCATGGGGCCCCCTTTCAAATGACCTGCCCCTTTACAATGCAAGGGTGGAATTCTCTGACTCTGGGGATGAGTGAAAGTGGACGTTGCTTCCTGTGGGCTGTCTCGGGCCAAGGCTCGGTAAGGAAAAGGATGAAAGGGCAGAGCGAGGCCCCCCCTTAATGCGCTCCCTGAGGGCCGAGGTGCGCCTGGCCAGGTCGTTTCCAAGCTCAACCTCTTCCCCGCTCACAGGAATAAGCAGCCAGCTTGGCACGGCAGAGAATCCTGCTCTCTAGGCTCTGGGCTGCCCGGAGGGCTTGACGTCCTTACACAACAGCTCCATGGGGATATTGCAGAGTTGCAGAAAGCATGGAAAAGGGTCACCAAAGGTTGGAGCAGGCCGCCTGTGAGGAGAGGCTAGGCTCTTTAGCTTAAAGAGAGAGAGAGAGAGAGAGAGAGAGAGAGAGAGAGAGCGGGCAGGATAGGAAGGTGTCCACTTGTGCTGAGGTGGGCAAAGGCCAGAAGGAGGGTGCTCCTTCCCTCTCCGCGAAGACCAGGGCCAAGCGAAAGCCAAGCGGGGAGAGGCTCGGGATGGACGAAAGGAAGGACTGTTCCTAGGATCGGACCCTTTCAGGGAGGACAAAGCTGCCGAGGGCTGCTAGCCGTGAGGCCTGTGCTGGACATTCTCCAGGATCAGAGTCTGCAGCCTTCCAAGAACCAGCAGTGATTGGGGAAGAGGAGCAGGAGAGCGTCCTGTCCAGCTGGTGGCCTCTCACTGGGTACCCATTGGGCACTGTGGAGTGGGTGGTTGGGCTAGATCAGTGTTTCTCAACCCTGGCAATGTGAAGATGTGTGGCCTTCAACTCCCAGGATTCCCCAGCCATCTTCATGTTGCCAGGGTTGAGAAACACTGGGCTCAATGGCTTGATCCCACCGCCTCTCCTCAGCCCTGGTGAGACCTACTCTTCCTAGCTTACCGTAATGGCTGCACGCTTTCTCGCATTCAGGCCGACTTTCAAATTTGTTTTCATTTCCTCCGCATCCCGTCCAAGAGAAGGGCAAGCACTTCTTCTGCTCATAGTCATAGTACCAGCGTTCTTGCATCATATAGCAAAGGCCTCCATCGGGAGGGAGGATGCATATTCCTGGGAGCATGAAACAGGGAGAGGAGGAGAAAGAGACGGCAGGGAAGCCGAGAAAGCCATGAGTTCAAAAGATGGGAATGGAAAGGAGGGAGGCAGGGAGGGCACCCCAGCCTTTCAGTGCCCCCCTTTTGTCAACGTCACTCACCAAGGTCTCCAGAGATCCGGCAGAGGTTGGCCCAGAGCAGCAGAAAAGCCTGGAGAAGAAGGATGGCCATGAACCTCATGGGTACGTGGAACAGAATCCAAATCTTGCTCAGGCTGAGGTCCAAGTCACCAAACAGTGGGTTCATGCACAATGTTACTTCCAAGGTCAATAATGCCTAGGACAGAAGTGAAACCAGAACTCCTAAGTATTCGTCAGTGGCCAAATTTTGCCTTCTGAACTGAACACGAACCACTCCTTGTCAAAATCTAACACCTTTGCCATTTCTTTAGCCTGCCTGTTTTAGTTTGATTCTGGCAGTTGAAGGACTGCAAAATTCCCCCCCCCCCCCAAGTCTTGCGTGGAAGGGTGCTGGAATGGCTTCAGTGCTATGAAACTTCCCTCCAGGTCATCTATCAATGGCTTAAATTAAAAGACCACGCATCACGGTCCTTATCTTTTTCCTTGGGAGAACTAATTTCCCTTCCAGGAACTCTGGATTCTTAGGACAGTGAAAAGAACAGCTTGTCCATTGCAGAAAAACCTTCCCTTTGCGAAGTGCAAACAAAGGAATTCAGGGTTTAAATAAGATGCTGTGCACACTTTAAGCTCCTGGTAGAGGGTTGTAAGGCCTGTGGGGGCCCTAAGCACGTCCTTTTAAGGAGGGAGCTTGCAGGGAGAGGAGGAACTGGGCCCCATCCGTGGACAAACGGTCCTACAATGTTTTTATCAATAATTTAAATGAAAGGTGGGGGGAACCTTCATCATTCGGGCTGACCCAAAACAGAGAATAGCTAACACCTCAGAAGTCAGGAACAACCAAGACAGAATTGAACGTTGGCCTGAAAATAATGCAGATGCAGCCGACAAAGGCAAATGCAATATTCAGCACCAACCGTATCATTCCAGGATTTGCTCCCTGGTCTGCAGCGGATCACAGTCTGGGCACGAGCCACCGGTGCTTCAGGAGCAAAAACGGAACCGGACCCAGCTCCCTAATATGATCTTAAGTTGCATTAGCAGCAGTGCAGTTTCTAAGTTATGGGGATGAGCAGTTCTGGTTCATTATGCGCTATTCAGATTACCCCTGGGGGTCACTCGGAGGGGAAGGTAGGCAGATTGGTTCAGAGGAGAGTAACAAAGAGATCTAGCAGTCTGGAAGACAAATTCTGTGAGGAGCTGAGTATGGAGAAGATAGAACTTGTGTGTGTGGGTGGGTGTGTTTGGACCAGTCAGGCTCAAGTGATAAGAGCTGGGTAGAGCTGAGGGTTTGTTTATTTATTTA